GCGAATGAATGAGTACTACTCTATGGAAAGGAAACATGACGCTGCACGTTATGCCTGCCAAATAGTTGTTTTCGGCTCTGTGTTTAAAGTAAGGTACTCCTGGTCGATGGCATGAAAATTGAAATCAGCGCCCCATCGAGAACTTCATGAAGCGAAAGAGACCAGAAACGGCCCCATATTGAAAGTGTAGGAGAGACCAAGATTAAAACGATTACCAACTTTCCTACCTTTTTGTCCGAGTAAAATTTCGCATGTCTAAAGTTAAAATGAACTAAGAAATTTAACAAAAAACTGAAACTGATAAGCTATCTGATTAATGGTCAACAAAATTGAACAAGAGCAGAGGTACGACAAAGAACGAAGGAAGTAACGCGAAACGGTTTTTCCTGTGCAAGCAAATTTGGGTTAGTCGTGTAACATGTTAACTTGATTTATGCCTTTTAGCTGTAACCAGTGCGTACATTTTCATCGTCATGTAGCATGACTTTGTTCTCTTATCCATGGGCCTCATACGTTGAACTTGTTAACTGAAGGGCATGATACGATGAAAGAGGCTTTCATTTAACAGTTTTGCCTTGAGATGCAGGTAGAAACACTCCGTCTGAACTTTGGAGTTGACGGATGCCTTGACATTGTAGGGAGGATAAGATGAGACGATAAATGTAAACTTATGGCTGCGTTATACAAAGGCTTAGCGACAGATAAGGCACACTTTCCTGTAACAACTCTTTGAATGTACTGCTGTTCAGTTTAGACGGGAGTGTGGATCTGAATATTGAATTACAACTGAAATAATAGCATCTGAACAGCTTAGTCATAAGGTTTCAACCACCTTATTGTTTTGCTAATTTGTTTTGAGATGCATTGTTATATTTTTTTATTATTGTTTGCATTCAGAAAACGAAGGCGGACGAAACTTAAAGCTTACTTCAGAGTCACATAAAGAATATCTTATTACTAACAAAGGAAAGTTCAGCGAAATATGTGAACCAGCAGCTACATTCGTTTCGTCGTATTTTGTCAGCGGGGACGCTTCGTCGTCGTCGACCTTCCTTCAGTACGTCGCGAAGGAGGGGCGTGATTCCATACCAGACAAAGCCGATGCCCTAAAGAATGAAGAACTGGATGTCATAAACGAAGAAGGCAACCGCTCATTTTCCCCGTCGTCTTGTTGGTCGTTACTGAAAATCGAGGAGAAAAAGAAGTCCAGCAAAGAAACGCTGCCCGTCTTATCCAGGAATCCTTTTAAAATCAAGAGTCCGATGACTTCTAATTCAGAGAAACAAGACAGTTGTGTAGAATCCAACGATCTGCCGGCTTCAAGGCTTGTTTCTGTCTCGTCGATTGATGTTCTGATGGACGACGTTGATGCCGATGAATCTTGCAGCTTCAATTCGCCCTCGCCTTGCACTGCAGTGAAGGATAAACTTTCCAAGTTCCATTT